TCCTCTGTGGGAATGAGAGAACTCTCAGGGGCCATGGGCTGGTCCAGCCAAACCTCCAGAGATGTTGCACAGGGCCTGCAAAAAGGGTGGAGAGTGACCCGAGCCAGCACAGAGGCTCTGGGAGATGGTGAGGGTAGGTCAAGGCCTTTCCCCCTGGGGGAGCGGCCAGCTCAGAGCCCAAAGCTCGGTCAGGGTGGCATCGCTGCAGGTGCCAGGACAGAGCCGTGTACGTGTGTGCCCTCGCCCTGTGTGATCCCCTCACCGCCCCTGCCGCTCAGTGCTGCCTGTGCAGATCAGCAGAGATGAGAGAAGCTTCTGTGGCTGTTGAGTTACAGGTGTGTCTGCAGGGAGGACCTTTCCAGCTCCTGGGATGGTTACTGCACGCAAGCCCGGCTCCCTTCACAGGGGTGAGTGGTCTGTCCTTGCTGACCCCACAGGCTCACCCCTGGTTTTGTGGGATCCATTCCTGGGAAATGGAACTATCTTCTGTTAAGGTCCTCTGAGACGGAAGAGCAAAGCCCCAGGAAAGAAGGGATCACTTGAGTCACATGACACCCTGAAACAAATCATGAAGGAACTGCACAAAGGCCATGGTGGGTGCATTTCCCTCAGCCTTCTCTTGCGACTCAGCAGCCAGGGGCTTTCTCTGCACCTCTGGACACGCCGTGCCCAACACAACAGGAAGGGATCCATGGCAGCCTGGCTGCCCTGCTGCTGCTTTCACAGCCTGCAGGGCTGGTTCCCAGCCTGGCCTGGCTGCAGCTTCTCCCCAGTCTCTGCAGGAAGGCATTTGGCATCAGTGGGCGGGGTGCCCAAAACTGCACCATGGGCCATGCACAGCTTGAGATCCCCTGCAATGTCCCAGTCTCTGAGCAGATCAGGGAGGGTTGTGGTTTGGATAATAGAGAAAGCCTGGGCCTTTTCCTGATCCTTTTCCATGTCTTTGACAAGCACTGCCTCCTGAAGAGGCCTCTTCCCTGCTATCCAATGGTTCCATCTGATCCAGCTGTACCTTTTCCTTTCTCAAGGGGTGGACAGAGAGGCTCTATGGAAGGTGGCATTTCCTGAAGCAAGGGAGGCAATTGCAGGCACGGGCCCAGGCACAGGAGGTAATTGCTGTTCTGGGGTCAGCCCTTGGTGGGGCTGTGTGCCAGGAGCTCTTCCCACAGGATCTGCCCTGTCTGAGAGGGGTTGACTGTTCCTTGGGCTGTCTGAGCTGTCCCAACGGAGAGAGGCAAGGAGGGATAGTTGTGGCACTGCATGCTGCAATTTTCCCCAGGGCTTTAGGGAGGGCTTCCTCTGTGGGAATGAGAGAACTCTCAGGGGCCATGGGCTGGTCCAGCCAAACCTCCAGAGATGTTGCACAGGGCCTGCAAAGAGGGTGGAGAGTGACCAGAGCCAGCCCAGAGTTCCTTAGGCCCCTCTGCAGCTTTAGTCGTGTCCATTGACATCTGGCTCCCACAGCCTTACCTGACCCCCTTGCGGTGCCCAGATCCCGAAAGCAGAAGGGGATCCCAGCACACCATGGCCATGGTTCTGATTTGTGCTCTGTTCTAGAGTGGGATNACTATACTTTGCAGTTTAAACAAGTGTCTCCAATAAAACATAAAACAATTTAAATTAAACAATATTTAAACCTAACAATAATTATATATGATAAAAGAAAATAACAAACTTAACCTTAAAAAAATATCTAAGTTAGAAAACTTAACTTAAAAACATTTAAGCCTAAACATTATAAAACTTAACTATCCTTAATTCTATTAACACTTAATCTATATTAAATAAAAACATTCAAGCCTAAAGATTATAAAACTTAACTATCCTTAATTCTATTAACACTTAATCTATATTAAATAAAAACATAACTTAATATTATTCTGTTAGTACAAAAAGCAACTAAAAGTTTGATATATACTTTTTAAACACAATATAACAGTAACATGAATTCACTATAAAGATTATAAGAATGTAACAAATACATCACAATTCTATGTCATCTAGCTTTGAGAATAACTCACAATAACTGCAAATGTTACTAAAAATACTTATTCATAACAGGAATTTGCCTAGTATATGCTTAAATTGGTTAGGATTTGAAAGTGCAGTTTTTCTAGAGAAAAACCACAACAACACAGGATTTGGCAAGTTGCCATCCAGCTTTTGTAGCACTTTTCAGAAACATCAAGTCCAATTTCTAAACTAAAGTCCAAAATCCAAATTGGTATATGTGTTTTATATAACAAAAGGACTCACATTAAAATTACCTTATTAAAATTGTGGAAAAAACAAGCAAATAGATAATATATACTTTAACTTAACTTTGTCTTGTACAGTAAAGTTCTCTTAACTAATTATTTTTTAAACCATAAATCTCTTCTGTAGATAACATTAATTGGAAGGTTTTCCTAGAAGCTGTAAATCATACCATGTTTTAACCTTAGGTTCTAAAACCAATTATTGCAAGGCAACTTCTGTTAAACACTTTTTCTCTCTCTTTTTTTTTTTTTTTTTTTTTTTTTTTTTTTTTTTCTTTATTTTCTTCTCTCTGACTCTCCCTCCCTCTCTCCATGGGCAGCATAGATAGGAGTGCTAGTCCAGCAGTGGGAGGTAAAGGCATCTGCCGCTGTGACACAGGTAGAATTACGGGGCTCACAGCCTCAGCATATCTCACTTTTCTGTCTTTTAAGGTACTAATTAATTGCCGTTTCCCATATCAGAGCCGATATATCAGTCCGTTCTTGCACCGCAAAAAGCAGTGTGAGCACTGCAAATGCCCATGACAATTAGCCCATATAATGAGCATATCCAGGTCCTTTTCCTGGGCTGCTTCGCCTCATTTAACGAGGATGCAGAGAAGCAGTTTATCTGCCGCCGCAAACTCTGCCTCCATGCTGACGGCCACCCTCAAGACGGAAGGTTGCGACCCTTCTACCACGCCCTTGCCTGCCTGGGCCCCTCCCAGCAGCCTGACTTTCCACGTCCTACCGCTCAGCGTTTCACCGCACTCAGGCTGCCTATCCGGTGCCGATCCAAGCCCGCGACGTCTAATGCCCAGATCCACTCCGCTGACTCCAAAGCCCCTCTGCCCGCAGGGGTGTCTCTGGTCAGAGCACCAGATGTTGAAAGACCCCTGAGCTGTTCACCAGTCTTCACAGAAGTAATTGTGAATGCCGTTTATTTCTATTATTAACACACCTTTTATAGGGTTCTACAGGGTCTGCGGGCAGAGCAAGCTACTATTGGCTAACACACACAGGTTTACATTCTTATCCTTGTACACAAGGATATTGTTTTGCTTTACTCTCTCTTCTGCAGGCAAGTTTCAAGGATTTTAGCCCTTAATATCATGACTTATTTCAAAGGCTGGTTTGTGCATACAGGCCTTTACTAATATATAAAATATAGCAACATCCAGTGATGGTGCTACTCCTGTTCCACCAGCCTTGCATGCAGGGGTATCCTGATGCCTGCAGATCCCAGCCAGCATTTGGGATCCAATATTCTTCCTCATACTTTCCTGGCCAGAATCAAATGTCTTTGGCTGCTTGCAGGCAGCAGTTCAGGGAAGGCTAGGAAGAGCTCCCAGGGCTTCTCCAAGTTCTACATCCCCAAATGTCCTAGCAGCCTCCTTCAGCAGCATTTCTTCTGCTCAGGATCACAATGGGACGGTTGCCAGAGTCAGAGGGAAGCCTTCTGGAAGGGGCTGCTAGACTGTGGTCTGACACCCATTCTGGAGGGCTTAAATCCAAGGAGGACTTGGTCACGGTCCCAAGGCTGCCAGAGCTCCAGGAGCATTTGGACAATGCTCTCAGGCACAGGGTAGAATTGTTGGGGTGCCTGTGCAGGGCCAAGGGTTGAACTCAATGACCTTTGTGGGTTCCTTCCAACTCAGGATATTCCATTATCTAGGATTCCATAAGGCCTTTATTTCCTTGTCTCTTCCTGGGGTATTAGTGGCTCCACAGTTCAGTCGGTACTGAGGAGGATCTCATAGACACGGTGCTGTTTTGGTTAAATTTGAGTAACTTGGCAAGAATTGGCAGTTCTGTAGATGGTGGGGGGCTAAATCAGCACTCAGCACAACTCAGAGCTTGCAGCTGTGGCTTTGGAAAACTTGCTCCCTCTGTGACACACTGCTGGCACTGCCAGTGGTTGTGATACCAGCTGGTGCTTCTTCCTGCTCTGCTGAAAATCCCACTGTACCCCATTTTTCACAGTAAGATGTACTCAGGGTCTTCTCATTGATGTGCACAAGGCAAGTGTGTAAAACCTCTGCATTCCTGTTGCTTTCTGTGGTACTTCCCTTAGGATACACAGCATTTCCACCAGGCAATGTGTTAATCAAAACCCTGAACACATGTTAGATGGGCAGCTGTGCCTCAATGCTTCATGCTGATGCTGAAATTTCCTTGCATTTGCTCTTTTTTCCTGACCCAGGAGATGGGTGATGTGGCCATCCAGAGGGAGAGCTGTCTGGACCATGTGGAGACTCTGCTCGCCTCTGTGTACCAGCGGGAGGAGCTGGACTGCATCTTCCAGCTCTGTGCACTGCAGAAGATTCAGGTAGAGAGTAGCCAGGTGCAGATTTCCACAATTCACCTGCACTCTCATGGAACTGGTGTCCCCATGCACATGGCTGGGGCTGGATATGGCTGTCTGACCATGTGTCTGTGTCAGTGTCACATCCAGACTGAAGAGGAGCATGTTGATCTTCAAGGCACAAATCACAGAATCACAGACTGGTTTGGGTTGGGGGAACCTTAAAACTCATCTTGTTCCACCTGCCATAGACAGGGACACCTTCCACTATCCCAGGTTGCTCCAAGCCCCATCCAACCTGGTCTTGGACACTTCCAGGGATGGGGCAGCCAAAGCTTCTCTGGGCAGCCTGTACCAGGGCCTTGGCACCCTCACGGGGACAAATTCCTTCCCAATATCCCATCTAATCCTGCCCTCTGGCAGTGGGAAGTTATTCTTCCTTGTCCTGTCCCTTCAAGCCCTTGTCCCAGGTCCCTCTCCAGCTCTCTTGGAGCTCCCTTAGGCACTGGAAGGGGCTCTAAAGTCATCTTGGATCCTCTTCTCCAAGCTGGACACACCCAGCTCTCCCAAAATGTTTTCATGAGACCACTGTCCTTTCAACTCACCTTTTCCACCTCAGCAAAATCTTTCTGATTTACAATCAGGCTGCAGAGCCCGAGTGTGGATGCTCCTTGCTTTTGTATTGTCTCCCCTGCCTGACCTTCCTATCAAAGCTGACCCACAGCAGCCTCTGCTGGGAGCAGAGAGAGGCATCACAGGTCATGGATAGTTCTGTTTTCCTGTGCTGCCTGGCCAGGGAGGCTGCTCTTTGCCCCATCAACCACGGGGAGGTCAGAGCTGCTGAATTATTTCAGGTGGAGGAATGTCTCACTAGGCTGTGTGCTTGCCTGAGAGATGAGCTCATGGGCTGGCCAGGATCTCCAGTCATCAGAGTAACACTGCCAAGCCTGATCCAAGCTGTGCCTCTTTGGTACACTTCAAAACACCCTCAAACTATTTAAAGACTATGAGAGAAGCAGAATTGCTTGTCCCCTGGCTTGTCTCTCCTCAAACAGCAGTTTGCACCTTGTGTATACTTGGATTTTTCTTCCTCCCTTAACACACAGCCAGTGTATCTTACACCAAGTGCTGCTCTCAAGCTGCTGCCTGGATCTGCCTACAGCAAGTTCTGCTTGTTCTGTACATGATGTGCTTCAGCATATGGCAGTGTTTTCAGTTCTTAATTTCTTTTTTTAACCTTTCCCAGTTGTTCTGCATTGCTTTTAAGTGCAGACAGGAGACCTGGACCAGGCCTTGCCTGCCAAAATCTTCTCATGCCATTATCCCTGCTCTTTACAGGTGTTTTAGGCACAGTGCCATGCTGGGGGTCTGTTTTCAGGGGTTTGACTGCCATGAATGTGGTTATTCTCTTATTTCTTCATCTTCTATAAAATTCTAAAATAGTGCTAGGCTGTGAGTAGATCTCTGTGGAGCACTGCTGGTTAATGCTGTTGGCTTCTACAGTGTGAGGTGTGTTTTAGTTCATAGAATCCCAGAATGGTTTGGGCTGGAAGGGACCTTAAAGCTCATCTTGTTCACCCCCCTGCCACAGGCAGGGACACCTTCCACTATCCCAGGGTGCTCCAAGCCCCGTCCAGCCTGGCCTTGAACACTTCCAGGCCTGTAAATGGTTCATGCTTTCCACTCCCATGTGCATTGGCCATGGTGCAGCCACTCCTGCTCCCCTGTGCCCACATCCCAGGGGTGATGCTCGCAGTGACACTTCCCTGATGGAGCTGATGAAATCTCACATGGCCTGATTTCAAGAGAAGTCCTGAAATCCAAAATCCATGGCTGTGGCCTGTGAGCGTCATGAGCTGTATGAGTACAATACAGCTCATTTTCTCTGGCAGCAGTGTTGCTGCATCGTGCCACAGCATGGGGCTGTGAGCCTGCACAGCAGCCAGCCCAGGCTCCTTCCTGGCAGCAGTAGTAGGAAAGCTCTGCTTCCAGTCTGATTCTCCCATTCACTCTGCGTTCTTTGCTCTTCCCTTCCAGACAGATGTGGTCCTGCAGTTGGATTTGCATTACATCCGGCCAGGCACAAAACAGAGGACTTGTGAAAGCCTGCAAACGACCCTCCAGCAGTCCCTGCTGAGGCAGTGTTTCGGCCAGAGGAGTGACTCGCAGTCAGGCTCACAGCGAGCTCCTGCCCGCGCAGGCAGCTCACGCCTGCAAGATGCACCAGCGCCGAGCACGGACCCCAAGGGCCAGGGATCCCTGAGCACAGGCTCTGGCCACAGCTTGCCCAGCAGCAGCCCCTCCAACTTCAGCAGCGAGCCCGAGGAGAATGACGAGAGCGACCTGGGCGAGCTCTGCTTGGCACTGCTTCGGGCTGGCCCGGGGCAGGACAGGCCCTGAGCCTCAGCCATGGGAGCTACTCTTTTAACTGAGGCCTCAATTTGAGTGCTAAATCTGTCAGGATCCATCAGCTGCTTCCCAGCCTTGGCATCGCCCTGTCTGAATGAGGCCAAGGCTGCTTTTTTGGAAAGGTTTCTCCTGTGTGCACCCTGTGGTGTGCAGGACCTCACTTCCCACTGGGAATATTCCCTGTCCCCTGGGAATGTCGGGATCTGCAGGGATTCGTTGTAGTGTCTGGCAGAGGACACGGCCACCCACCAGCATAACGCTGCCAGGCAAAGGTGTAGGCTGGTGTTTTCTGCCTGAAGACAAATGTTGCTGCGTTGGATGTGGTAGGTTGCCCACAAACACTACAGACCCCTCTGGCTCAAATCCCAGCCATGACTGCTGGATCTCACCAACCTGTGCAAGGGACACAGGGCTGGGGAGCCAGGTGAAATAGTGTCGGCTCTCCACGGGGTCCCAGTGTGGCTTCCTTCCCACGCCTGTGTCAAAGCAGGTGTTAAGTTATGCATTTATGTATTTCTGAAGCACGTATTTATAACTGGGAGGCTGGACAGTGGCTTGCCAGGAAAAGGAAGGTCAGATGTTCCATCTAGTGTGTGTTTACATTGGAGGCTGGTGTTCCACTGGACCAGGAACAGCGTCCAGGCAGGTGCACTGACACCTGCCCCTTGCACCATGGTACAGGGGCATTAAAGCGTGTTCAGCCCTCTGCAGTCCTGAGTTCTTCTCAGGTGCACCATGTCCTTCAGGAGAGATAGAATGTACCAGGACTGAGAAAGGGTAACTTCAAAAAAGTTACTATTAGTGCAAATTGTTTTGTCTGCGTGCCTGTCTGTGCTGTGTGCAACCTCAAGCACTACATGGAGAGCCAACTGTCCAGGTGGGCCTCAGGTGAAGAGAGCCCAAAGGACAGCCTGGGTGGGCACATGCCCCTCCCTGATTGCTTCCCTAATGCATGTTTGATAAAGGTATTGCTCAGTGACCCTAGGGAAGTGTGGGGTCTCCTTCCTTAGAGGACAGTTCACTTTGGACTGCAGAAGATGCCAGTGACCTGATCTAAGCTGGGTGAGGGCTGGACCAGAGACCACTGGAGATCCCTTCTGGCCGCTGTGGTCCTGTGGAGCAAAGAGGTCGGAGGGCAGAACTTCTTGAGAGGTCAAGGGTAGCAGGGTAGGGAAAATGCCCAAGCTGTGACTTGCTTTAAAAGAGGGTTGGAGGCAGAATTTTCTCAGTTTTGCTCTCCTTCAGCAGTGAAAATACATCCCTGTCTGTGGTGTCAGTTGCAGCACAGAAAAATCTGAAATGTTGCTTCCAGATAAGGCATTCTACAAGTGCTGGAAACCTGTCCAAAAAGAACAGAGGAGGCTTTTATTATTCTCACTGTGAGTAGCGCCAAGGGAAAGAAGAGGGGCCCCAGCTGGCTGCAGACTAGGAAGTCTCCTAGAAAAAAAATAAATAAAAAATTCAGAGGATGTAGTTTAACTGAGATGGGCTGATAGAGAAGATAAACCAGAAATTAATAAACTGATTTCAGGAAGAACCAAAGATCAACTCAACACCAGCAGGCACTGGGGACAGGTCAGTGGGAATGGTTTAGCAGGCATTTGGGAGGAGCTGGGGCTCTCATTGCCTCTGTGGGGATTATTCACACCTTCCCGTGCTGTTGAGGCATGGCTTTTTCCTGGCTCACATTATCATGCCAAGTGTCATGTAATATGAATGTTTATCTCATTCAAAGCAAGGCTGTTTATTTTTTCTGAATAAAACACTATTGGTGTTTTTAGTGCACAAAGCTTCACATGACTCTGAGCTAACTGTGTTTATTTTCCCTCTAATTGCCAGGGTGTAACTTGATATTGATCTGCTGGGGTTTCATGCTTCCAGCTTGAGCTTCTAGGGTCTTCTAGGTGAGCGTTGTTTCTTTTTTTAGGTAACTTAAAATACTGAAGTTTGGGTTTAGAAGGCAGATCAAGTGACTAGATAAGATGAAATGATGTCAGGTGAAATGTGTAGATGAAAAAGTCCTCATTCATTGTGATTTGTCCATCAACTTTGTAAGTGTGGCTTGGTGGGCTCCTGTCTTGGTGCCAACCACAGCACTTGTCCCTGTTGTCAGTTCTTCTGCTCCTCCAAGGAGACCCTGCAGCCAAGTCCAGGAGAACCACCACATTCCCATGGTGGTTTATTCCCTGAGATGATGATTTGTCATGTCTGGGAACTTGCTGAATTGCAAAGGTGGACTTTGTGTCCCAGGCCTCAGCTGGAGTCATTGTAGGGGGGGATGGAAATATAGATCCTTCATCTCCACCTTTTCATGTGAAATCCAAACTCCCTCATGGTGGTTAAACTGTTTAGTGCCAGTAAATTTTCCTGGAAATCTATGTTTCCATCTCCCAGCATCCAGGACAGACAAGACATCCCAAGATTGCCATGTGTCTCTTAGCCACGTCCTTTCCAATCTGCACCTTGGGCTCCACAGCCCACTGGGCCACCTGCAAGTGTGGGAAGGGAGGAGCAGAAAAAGTGGGATCAAGACATCAGCTCCAGTTTACATTCTCTTTCTTCCTCCTTATCTTCCACACCATTGCCCTCCACTTCCTCTGTTTCTGGGTCAGTCTGTGCCCAGAGGCTACAAACAGCGCTTAGAATCATTTTTGTAGGTAGTACAGGTGTTTTCCTTCACCCAAGTCTTTAAAAAGCACCAAGTGAACATTTAAAACAATGTCTGACAAAAATAGCAGTACCTAAATATTCAATAATTTTATTTTTAGATGGATGCCCTTCTTTTTCTCTCTGCTAGGGCAGATGTGTTGAAAAGAAGGACCTTGGACAACAGCCTGATATGTTCTGCTGCAGAATTCATTTGGGATGCAGTTCTCAGCTCATTTGCTGAGGTTTGGCAGTTCCTGACAAAAAAAGGCAAGTGTACCCAAAAGGATTAAGAAAACAAGGCAGTGAAAATCAGAGCAATCATGGAATCTTGGAAATCATTTCAGTCTGTTACTGGAAAACCCTGGGCCCAGGTGTAGTCAAGAGGTGTGTTATATGAGCGCTGGCAGATCCACCCAGCCTGGCACCCTTCTGTTGGCAGCGGATTCCTAAAGGTTTGTTGTCAGTTGGCATTTTTGTGATTGAAGGAAGGAAAAGGTGGATTTGTCTGACATCAGCCACATGCCAGCCTCAACCAAAAAAAGAAACACAAGACAAATCCTTCATTTCAGGAGTAATTTCTGGGGGGGGAAAAATTCAGTGTGGGGCAATGTCGAGTAATTTCATTTACCAGCTCACTTAACTCCTTCCATCTTTTTGGAACAAATCCTCTCCCTCACAGGAGTAAATCTGAATTTACTCTTCAGAAACTGGTAGGTTCTCCTTATTTTCCCTGTTAAGAGGTTTTCCATGATGTACAGAACCTGCCAGATCATTTCCTACTCCACATTACAGGGCAGAGTGTAGGGTCCTGTTGATGGAATATGCTTGCAGTGTAATAAAACATATAGAGGGACATGCAGGGAAATTGCAAGATTCAACAATATAGTTTTGATATTTCCCTAGTTTTTGGAAGTAGCTTCTCATACAGGCAGGAGAGATCCCAAAGGCATTCAGGGGCTGTTCACTCCCAGGGAAGGAAGGAGCTTCCCAAAGGGCAGGTTATCGTGTTCTCTAGAAGTTAATGCTTCCTTTTGTGTGGACAAGGAGTGAAGAGGATGATCTTGTGAGCTGATACAATACAGGAATCACCTGTTCTCTGAAATGCTGAGGGTTGCTGTCATAAGCTGAGGATCACTGGAAGTCAACTTGCTCTGAGCACAACAGGACCATCCACAAGGCAGTAACAGGAGACACAGGCTCAGTAGTTGTGAGGAGGGAACTGTTAAATGCAGGTGCTGCTCTCACAGCCAGTGAGTCACAGACAGCCTTTATCCATCATGTTTTGCACATGGAGACATCCACAGCTCTGCTCTCCTCTCTCCCAGTGCTGGCAACTGTCCTGCTTCCAGCAGAACATTGGATCATGTCCCTCCCAAGCAACACTGTGGTTGTGCTACCAGAATACTCCCAGAAGAGTGCTTGTGTTCTGAGTGATTCTGAGCACCAAACTGGGAGTTTCAGGACTGTTTCAGTGAAATATCCCTGCTCCCCGTCCAAGGAGCAAACAAGGACATTGGTTCAGCTTAGCTGGTTTCAAAACTTACAAAACTAAACTCATGGCAGGGCAAGAGAATAAGGGAAAAGTGGTAAAACAGTTCATTTGAAAATGTCAGATGGCTCAGATTCAGTTCTTCCAGGCCTCCCCATCAGGTGGATGATTCAGGAATGAAACCAGGAGCACAGTTAGAAACAAAAGGGGTGAGTGAAGCCATCCCCTGTCAAACTAATAAACCCAAGATGACTCATAAGGAGATTCACACTGCCGACCTTCATTCGGGCACCTCTGCAGAGACCTGGGGCACCTCTTTGGAAAGCAGAGGCAGGAGCAGGTCTGGTGTCATGGTGAAGCTTGCAGACCACGATTTTCTTGTTAATGGTGAGAAATTATTGATAGCACAGACTTTTCATGTTGTCCCAGAGTTCTGTCCTCTATCACAGATTATTTCAATGACTGCTTTGCCATTGTTACTAATCTCTTGAAATTAGGTCTGTAACATCATGTGACAGTGAAGAGAAAAACACATCATCAAAAAAAAGGCTCCTTGAAGTGCTTGAAGTTTCTTATCTTCACAGTTTGGATAACCTTTTTCATAACAAGCAACAATTTCAGATCTTGGTCATATCACCCCCTCAAAGAGATAGAAGACACACTTTGAAATTACAGACCAGACTTTGTGCGCAGGAGAAGAACTGACACGGTGTCACACAGCAAGGAAGAACTAATGTCTCTTTGATAAATCTGTCTTCCCTAAGTTGGGTTTTCTTGCCACAGTGTCAGGAATAGTTGATGAGACAGACGTGTTATTAAGTGGTAAAAATAAACAGATGGAAGAGACAAGTGAGAGATTTCAGCTATGACTTTCCAGAATGTTTCAGCAGTGAATAACCACCTCAATTCCATTCCCTACCAGAGAAGAAAAATAGGCAGTAGTTACTCAAGGACTGCGTGGTTGGAGCAATGGGGCACCCACAGGTCCCTGGTTCCCACCTGCCCTCAAGGCATGTGAGATGGGGCAGTTTGGGGTCCCAGAGAGGGGTGCTGGTCCTGACCTGCTGCTCCTCCAGACTCAAAATCACCACTGTGGAGAGCGTTGGTGCCTGACCACGTGAGGACTGACTGCCTTGGGTCCTCCTGGGAATTGGAACCTATTTTTGAGACCAAACCCCTATATCATCCCTCTTCTCTCACTCTCCCTCCCTCTTCCACAGAAGAGGGGTCTCACTCCTTCCCTCTGTGGAGGATGCAGCAGTTTGGCCAAGGCTGTGCTCCTGACAACGGAAAGGGCAGAGCACAAGCAGGCTGAGGATATAGCCACTGCAAGAGATCCTCACTCTGACAGAAGGACATTGAGAGGCTGGAGCATATCCAGAGCTAGGAGCAGAGCTGGGGAAGAGGCTGGAGCACCAGGAGCAGCTGAGGGAGCTGGTGGGGCTCAGCCCAGAGAAAAGAAGGCTCAGAGGGACCTTCTTGTGCTCCATGACTCCCTGACAGGAGGGTGCAGCCAGGTGGGGGTTGAGCACTTCTCTCATGATACAAGGGATAGGATGAGAGAAAACTGACTCAAGTTGTACCAGGGGAAGTTCAGATTGGATACTGGGGAAAAGTTCTTCACAGAAAAAGTGGTCAGGCATTGGCACAGGTTGCCCAGGGCAGTGGTGGAGTCACCATCCCTGGAAGTGTTCAAAAAAACATGTGGGTGTGGCACTTGAGGACATGCTTTAGTGATGGTCCTGGCAGCTGGACTCAATGACCTTAGAGGGCTTCTCCAACCTTAATAGTTCCATGTCCTATGATTCTGTAAGATGTTTCATGCCCTGGGAATGTGACGGTAGAGCACCAGCTCCTGCAAATGTGACACTGAAATAGGGTCAAGTGGCAGTGTTGTAAGTGTGGGGGAGCTGATCTTGGTGTCTGGGGCCCTCACCACAGCAGGGCACAACACAAAATCCCATTTTCCAAAGAGCTGATTGTCAAGTGATGTTGTTCCCAGACCTGGCTCATGCCCAGGCTATTGGTCATTGCTGGAAGAACAGAGGGTGGCTTCTGCTGTGTCACTGCAGCCACCTATCAGCCTGCCTGCTTTATCCTTCTGTGTCATTTCATATCAATTATAAAATATTAAACCAGATAAATACCTCTAACCTTTCTGGATGATAAGAAAAGATATCGTTCAGCCTCCTAAAATGTCTTGTTTTCGCTGGAAAATGCTAATGGGATTATTTAAAGGTTATTTCAGCCTCCTTTCAATTCTGGAGACGTGGCAATACAATCACGATGCCCTTTGTTTATGCCTTTTTAATGACTGCTTTTACCTTCAGGTATTTGAGTCTTCTGCATCTTTTCAGGTGATCCTTTGGGAAATCCTTGGACTGCTTTTTTGTGGAAACTTCCTGAGGAATGTAAATGTGCCTGTGATTTTAGAGGTCTGGAGGAGAGCTGGGGTGGTGGAGCACTCTGGCAGTCTGGTAAGTGTTTGATGTGCTTGTTTTGATGTCCTTGTGTATTTTGCAGTGCAAGGGTCAGGAGCTGCACCCACAGGTCCTGCATTGTGTCTGTGCAGCAGTGCTTGCAGCAGTGAGCACCAGTGCACCCCTGGGGCACTGCTCTTGCCCTTCCCTCGAGACCCCTGCCCGTGAGCCTGTGCCAGGCT